TTTAGATAGAAGGGAGGGCCACAGCTTGATGTATTTTGATACATCTTGCTCGACTTGGGGCGGCCCGAACTGGCGTAGTACCTCCACCAAGCAGAAAACCACAGCCAAATATTGCTGTACTTGCAACTGTGTTCCTGTGGTGTGTAAGGTGACCAGAGCCCCGTGAGGATTGGTTGTGCTGGTATTGGAGGACTTGTGTGTTCAACAGTGCCGCCGGATTGCATAGGCACGACGTGGTGGCGCAGGGTTCAGGGAGACCCGGTGAAACGGCTAACCGCTGGCCGCCCGCAGGTTGTTGGGTTCCCGAACCCAGGGATTACTTAATCTCCGCCCTGGGAGGCTGAACCGCCGTCTGCGCATAATCCCTGGTGTAAAAGTCGTGCCGGAGAAGAAGACCGGAGTAGACCCGGCTGCTGCACCAGTGGGGGGACCGGGGGCCCTTCCGGCCGCTGTGCCACCAAATTGCCAAACCTGTGCAATACTGAGGTGCATTGACACATCCTTTGTCCTTTCTAATACCATCATCCCCCTTCAACCTTAAAAAAATAATACCCAGAATGGCCAGAAAAAAGAAAAGGAATCGCAGTAAATCAGCGGCACCCCTATCCACTATTAATATGGATTTCTGTAACATCAGGGGACTACACAGAAACATCAATGCGGTCCACCATCATTTCGAGACCACCAAGCCGACCCTTCTGTTTCTTACGGAGACACAGATATCCTGTCCGGCTGATACTTCGTACCTTACGTATCCCGGGTATACACTTGTGCGTCGAGCTGGGGTATATTTGTATGTCCGGGAGGATATCTGCTGTCGCCGCCTTCTTGGCCTAGAAAAAAAAGATCTGTCAGTACTATAGGTACGCGTAGATCAGGGTGAGTACACCGGTATCTACGCGTGCCTATACAGGTCTCATAGCGGTGACGAGGACACGACTCGTCTGTTTGAGCACCTTCAAATCACGTCTGATAAAGTTCTCGAGCAATATCCCTCCGCGAATTTAGTGATCCTTGGAGACTTTAATGCCCATCACACCGAGTGGCTCCGTTCTCGAATCACTGACCATGCGGGGAGAACTGCTCACGAGTTTGCCCTGGCCTATGGATTCTCACAACTGCTTCATTCTCCAACGAGAATACCAGATATCGAGACCCATACGAGCTCCACACTGGACCTTCTGCTGACTGACAGGTCCGGACGAATATTCAGTCACCGTGGAAGCGCCTCTTGGTTCTTCGGATCACTGTCTTATTCGATCCCAAGTACAGTGCACACAACCCGAACACCTGGTCGACGTCGCATGTGGCATTATAAGTCAGCAGATTGGGACAGATTGCGAGAATTTTACGCGTCGTACCCATGGAGGCAGCACTGCTTTGCATCAGAAAACGTCGATACCTGTACAGCCGCCGTTACTGAAGTCATACTTGCGGGTATGGAATGTTTAATTCCAAATCTGCTTGTTGCTTCTGGGGCTAAAAAGCGACCGTGGTTTAATAGGTCATGCAGAGAAGCCAGACAGGCTAAAGAAACTGCTTATCAGGCTTGGACCACGGCTCGTTCCAACAGTGATGTTGGCGTATCTGATGTGAGGCGAAATTTAAATGCTGCATCCAGGTTTAGTAAGAGAGTCATTGCTAGAGCAAAATTGGGGAGCGACTAGCCCGTCATCCTTCTGGAAGTCGAGCCTTTTGGTCCCTTGCTAAGGTTGCCGAAGGTAACTTTAGTCAGTCGTCCTTACCACCACTACGGAAGCCGGATGATAACTTGGTACATAGTGCAAAAGAGAAGGCCGATTTGTTGTGCGCTCTTTTTGCCTCAAATTCGACTTTAGACGCTGGGAACACCATACCTACTATCATCCCATGGTGTGGTAACTCTATGCCGGAAATATCCGTAACACAACGGAGTGTCGGGCGAGACTTGCTGTCTCTCGACGTCAACAAGTCGATCGGGCCAGACGGCATACCGGCTTTGGTGTTAAAGAAGTGTGCTCCTGAGTTGTGTCCCGTACTCACGCACCTCTTCGCGCTTTCATACTCCTCTGGGCAATTTCCGTCATCATGGAAGACCACCCTTGTGCACGCTGTGCCAAAAAAGGGCGACAGGTCAAACCCATCGAACTACAGGCCTATCGCTATCGCATCTTTGCTACACAGCTTCTCAGATACCTACAAGATCACGATTTATTGAGAGATCGTCAATATGGCTTTCGCCATAATCGCTCAACTGGTGATCTTTTAGTGTATCTCACACACCGCTGGGCTCTTGCCATCGAGAGCAAAGGTGAGGCGTTGGCAGTCAGCCTTGATATGGCGAAGACATTCGATCGGGTTTGGCATCAAGGTCTTCTATTGAAATTGCCCTACTGTACGGAATACCAGAGGGATTATACAAATGGGTTTTTTGTCTGGCAGATGCATCAAAACCGTGGTCGACGGTAGTAGACGGACGCTGGCGTCCCGCAAGGCTCTGTTCTCTCCCCGACACTGTTTTTGCTGCATGTTAATGATTTGTTAACTATGGTTGACATTCATTGCTATGCGGATGACAGTACTGGGGACGCATTTTACACGGGCCGTGCTGATATCCCTCTTTCCGTTGTGGAGGCAAACCGCGAACAGCTTGTGTCTGAAATCGAGAGTACTCTCACCAGAGTCTCCGATTGGGGGCGATTGAACTTTTTTCAATTCAACCCTACCAAGACACAAGCCTGCGCGTTCACCGCTAAGAAAACCCCTTTTACTGTGGCTCCGCAATTCCAGAACACGTCCATTACCATCTTTAAGAGCATTGGGATTCTCGGTGTCGATATCTCTAGCGCAGTAGATTTCTCGAGAGACTACAGCATGGGGTTTTTTAAGAAGGGTATATTAAGGTTTCTTAAGGGTCGGCAACGCGTATGTGACACCTCTGGTGTTTCAGGCGTCCATAGGCTACGGTAACCGTTTACCATCAGATGGGCCGTATGCTTGTTTGCCACCTAAGTGGTATAAAAAAAAATAGATAATATACAGAAATCAGTCACTCATATCTGTCAGCGTACAATTGCGTTCCATTTTACCAGAAAACTGAAATGATCAAAATAAAAATTACTTCAATGATAAATGTATAAAGTAAAAACAAAAAATATTTGTATTTATCTACGTCTTCATTATAACTATTTAATTAATATATAATATTTATTAACGTAATATTAGGCTAAAAATCAGTTTTAAATTACAAGTAAGGACGGAGTTACGGAGAAAAGGAACGGCGAGATATTTTTATTGGATCGATTTCAAAATCAAAAGAGTGAATAAAATAACAATTGACATCTTTTATATATTTTTATTATTATTAACTAAAAATATTTAATGCTAATTGTACAAATTAGTCTTAAATATTTTTAGTTAATATATTTTTAATTTAGTTAAGCCTTTTTTCAAAAAACAACACTTACAATACAATATTTAAAAATGGAGTTTGACTTTTTGCATTTAGTCCACTTTTTAGTTTAACACTAGGGGCATCGCAAGTCTAACTTTAGACCAGAGCCGAATCACGGTTTAGAGATAAACTTCGTTTTGTAATGAGGAATACTTTGGTCAATGGTTTAGTACTAGTGCTAAACCAGATTTATCTTTTTGTAATAAGACAGCCAGAGTCTGTACTCAATTTGCCAGAAAAAAATTCAAATGTGTCATAAAACATATTCTTTGTAAAAAAAGCTTATTATAAAATTGAAGAATTTATAAATGATAACAATGTTATTGCAGAAAATATCTAACTTAAAATTCATAGCGCTGACAATGTTATCTGATTGAACAGAGATTAAGTGCGTAGCGGTTACTATGTTGATTGTCGCATGCCTTATCCTTGTTGTAAATTAAATATAAGTAAATCAATATTTATTTAAAAGAGCAACATACAAGTTTCTTGCTTATTCTTCTTGTGATGAAAAAAAAAACTTGACTATTCAAAAGTGCTTATATTATTAAGTTTATTTGAATAAAGATTATTTCTATTTCTATTTCTATTCGTGCTGAAACACTGTGTCACATGACATTTCCAAGCTATGACGTCATATTTCGATACTGTTTTGAGTGATAGGTATACAGAATTAATTGGAATTGTGAAAATGATAAGCTACAAACGTGCCTATGTGTCGAAGTACGACAATTAAATGTAAAATTTTTATACATATTCCTAAATGCCTAAAACGTCGAAAGCAATGTTTACAATTGGCACACCCAGATCCACAGTTTACGTCTGATAAGTCTGCAATATTCTTTTGTTAGGATCCCTTTGATGTAAGTATTTAGAAGAAATCAATATGTCTAATTTTCCAAAAATAAATTAACATAAACTAACTTCTACCTAATGATATATAATAAAAAGATAAATTACATTAATACAGTATAATGGGTTCCATTGGTAAAATAAAATTAAATAATAAACTCGGTAGAACAAAAATCAGGATTACTGGTAAAGAAATATGCGAATCAATTCTGTGTAGATTTGCAGTATCCGCTTTAATATAGTCTCTCCATTTCGTGAAACTCTTTAAACAGCACAAATTGCAAATGCTTAATGAGGTTCTGTTTATTGAATTACTAGCTGATCTGGCTTCGCATGGGTGCAATGCTGATACTAAATATACTGCTGTCACCTATCTACATTGACATCGCTGTTACTCCAGTCAGCTCGTGACCACGGCTAGTGCAACCTAGTCGAAACGTCGAGAGAGGTAAATACCTTTATTTGCCATAAAATTATTCGTGTTAAGATCCGGTTAATAATTTAAAAAATGTATATTAAACACGAAAGTTTAAAATTAACTATTGCAAACCGCTACGGGCCGGAGGTTGCATATAAAATTAAACAACTAGAATCAGTGCGAAAGCGACGGGTAAAATTAGAAACTTCACTATCATTTTTAACAACATGTCGCGATCGTAACTTAATACCTACATGTGTTCGTGTTAAACCGCGTAGTGATATTAAGTTTTCTGAAATGATTCTACGGAATGCGAGTGTCAGATTACTACGACAATTAATACGAAATATTCGCTGTGAATTAATAAAAGTACAAAGTGAGTTATACGTGTTACATCAGGAATGCAGTGCAGTGTTGTCGGTCAGTGATTTCGACCTTTGTGACCGCGTGACACACGGACAGGCAGAACGTATAGCCGATCTCAGATGTGCAGTTCATAATAAAAAGTTATTAAAATTGTCAACGCACCAGAAAAATAATAAAACGGTTTCATATATTGGTTTGATAGATGTACAGGCAGACAAGGTACAGTCACTAAAAAAAGTGGATTCGTCAGATGTGGCGATTAACCTGTCGGGTGAAAAGTTGGATTATGCAACAGTTAGCATTTTAGCCAAAGGACTAAATTTCGCTTTGACACCACGCAGGGTTCCTTATGAAAGCATCATCGGAAGTGTCGAAGAAGCTATCAACCGAATTAAAATACCATATAATGACGCGGAATCACTGAGACAGGACGTAGCAAACATCTTAAGAAAGACAAAGCTGCCAAAAAGTAACGTTACAGCCGAAGAACGATATGCACTGAAATGTATTCGTGAAAATGAGAATATCCTGGTACTCAAGGCCGACAAGGGTAATGCTACCGTAGTAATGAACACTTCTGATTATGATAGTAAGATATGTGTTCTATTATCAGATACTAGTTTATACAAACGTGTATCATACAATCCAACGTCCAGAGTGGCTCGTCGAACACGAGCACTTATTCAAGAACACCGTGACATTTTCACTGAAGAGGAATATAATAGTCTTTACAGGGCGAAACATATTCAACCACCAAAATTATATGGCTTACCCAAAATACACAAAAAGAACGCCCCTCTTCGACCAATAGTTAGTCAGATCAATTCACCAACTTATGATCTGGCTAAACATGTTGCGAAGATCCTGCAGCCACTAGTGGGTAAGTCGTCCTCTTTTGTGAAAAATTCTCACCATTTCACGGACATGCTAAAAAGCACAAAACTGGAACCTACAGAGATAATGGTGAGTTTTGACGTTGAATCATTATTCACCAATATTCCAGTGAATGAGTGCATGGAGGTGGTCAAGGATAGGCTATTGGAGAAAGACCTGCCGTCACAGTATAGTGTACTTCTGAAACATTGCTTAGATGCAGGCTATTTTCTGTACCAAGGTGAATACTACCTTCAAATAGATGGCGTTGCAAAGGGGAGCTCAGTGGCCCCATTAGTAGCTAATATTTGGATGGAGCACATTGAGACAAAGATTCCTGCTCTCAGACCATTAGAAATTAGCCTGTGGAAAAGATATGTAGATGATGTTTTTTGCATATTTAATGGTACACAACAACAAGCAGACGAATACCTAAAATACCTAAATTTCATACATTCTAAAACCAAATTTACAATGGAATTGGAGAAAGATAGGTCCTTGGCCTTCCTGGACATCCTAGTTATGGTGAGATCTGATGGCTCGGTTACACACACAGTATACCGGAAACCAACACACACAGATAGATACCTACATGCCTCCTCACATCATCACCCACGACATTTACAATCAGTCGTCACTACTCTCACAAACAGAGCGCAAGATCTCTGTGCCCCTGAATTTGTGGAACAAGAACTATCCCACGTTCAAGAAGTACTCAAGAAAAATGGTTACATAAAGAGTAGAAGGCAAAATAAGCGCGTAACAAAAGCTAAAAAACCGGAAGTGAACGTAGCGTACATGACTTACTTAAGAGGAATAACGGACAAAATTGGAACAGCACTAAATAAATACTCCATTAAGACTGTATATTATCCGCCCTCAAAAGTAACGAACAATTTACGTTCACCAAAGGATAAGCTACCTTACGAAGCACCAGGTGTCTACAAAATTGACTGTAGTTGTGGCAGCTCTTATATTGGCCAAACAAAACGATCAATAGCCGAGAGAGTCAAAGAGCACATCGCAGCCGTTAAAAATCGACAACCACACAAATCAGCGGTTGCCGATCATCTACTGAACGCTGGAACAAATCACTGGATTGAACTACATGCGCCTAAGGTCATCTCTACTGATCGCCACTATTATCCAGGAATGGTCCGGGAGGCGATTGAAATTAAAAAAACATCCCAATTTCAACAGAGAGGATGGCTTAAGATTATCATCTGCGTGGAATCCAGTCATAAATAAATTCAAGCAAAGTTCAGTAGCATCAATAATCAATAATCAAACGGATACCGTGAGTGCTGTGTGTCGCGAACTTTCATTAAACAATCTAGTGACGGTAGATGAAGAAAAAACTGCTGTCACCTATCTACATTGACATCGCTGTTACTCCATTCAGCTCGTGACCACGGCTTTTTTTTTTTTTCTTGGGGAAATCCGTCATGGAGGCCCGCCCGCTCCAGGGGTAACGAGCGGGTACTGCCGGACTCCTACCGGCTAAAACCCCAAGGTGTACCTCTACTGCTTGTTGCCGGAGCTCCGGGTGTGCGCGAGCATTCTTCCGCAGCTCCGACGGCGGGAACCCATCTCAGTAGACGGGTCACTACTCTTCTTCAGAAGAAGTAGCGCGGGTACACGCGCGCACCTTCTCAAGGCTGCGATGTCGACGGGGAGGCAGCCGCCCCCACGGCCGGCGCCCCTGGCCCTTGCGGAGGGAGAGGAACAACATCCCTCCTCCGTCTAGCTCGTCTCCGACGAATTGGGTCGGCGGAGGAAGCAATTTCACGTCCTCTCTCTGCCGCCTCCTTTTTGGTCATTACCGACTCGCAGTATGCCACTACGGCTGACCAGGACCTCTCATTACTCACCATCTCACGTATAACTGCTGGCAACGAGAGGTCATTTCCTATGACTGCAATCAGGACGCGACGCTCTTCGGCGAATGCCGAGCATTCTTCTAATGTGTGTTGCTCCGTGTCCTGATTACAGTCGTTGCACTCATGGCAAGCGGCCGTTGGTTCCCTCCGGGCCATCTCGCACAGGTACTTACCGAAACAACCATGACCGGTAAGCACCTGTGTCAATCTGAAGGTAAGCGGGCCTCTACCTCCTTTACTCAGCCAGTACGTTAGTACTGGCCGAATGGCCTCCACAGTTTTAAGACCCGCCCTTGGATCCTCCAATCTACTCCTCCACTTCTCCATTAGGTCCCGTGAGTCTAACAGCCTCCGGGCGCGAATATCGCCTGTTGAAGGGACTTCGCCCCGGTTTCGCAGCTCTGCACGCCAGTAATAAAAAGACGCGCGGGCTTTAGCCTCTAGATCCCAGGGCGGAGAACCCGCCATTAAGCAGGCCGCCTCACACGAAACGGTGCGATATCCTCTAATGGCCCTGATCGCCATCACCCGATGTGGGCGACGAAGCATGGCTATGTTCACTCGATCGAGTGCACCAGCCCATATAGGGGCCCCATACATGGCCATCGACTGCACCACCCCGAGGTAGAGGCGGCGGCGACTATCGTGAGGTCCTCCTAGATTAGGGAGGAGTCGACTTAGGGCATTCGCTGCTGCCATCAGACGGGGAGCCAAGCTTCTGAAATGCGCCCGGAATTTCCAGCGACCGTCAAGTACCAGGCCCAAATACTTTATATTTGGTTTAACTTGAATAGTTATTCCGCCAACCATGATATGGGATCCCCTGGCGGGGCGCGGCGAGGACCATGAAAGCAGATTGCCTCTGATTTTTCCAAGGCTACTTGCAACCCCAGACGGCGAATTCTCGCTACTACTATCGCAACACACGCAGTTGCTCGGAGAGCCGCCTCTCGATAAGTCCTTCCCCGGGCAGTGACCAAAGTGTCATCTGCGTAACAGGTTAGACCCGTTCCGGCTAGTGGCGCCCCCCGCAGAACATAGTCGAAGCCGACGTTCCACAGGAAGGGACCTAGCACAGAGCCCTGCGGAACGCCGCGTTCCATTGTCCTCCTTAGTAGATCGCCGTCCCGCCTGATACAGACGACAGATCTATCTTGAAGATAGGCCCCAATAATGTCTCGGAGGTAGTGAGGTACACCATGATAGCGTAGAGCCTCCCTGATACAACTGAAGGGCAGGGTGTTGAACGCATTAGAGATATCCAGCGAGACCGCCAGCAACACCCCGCCCTGGGAAACCGCCTCCTCCGAGAGGTTCCTTACTTGCGCACTCGCATCAATGGTCGAGCGACCCTCTCGGAACCCGTACTGGGACGAGGAGAGGTCAGGGCCTACTTCTTTGAGATGCCTGACGAGGCGGCCCGCAATAATCCGCTCAAAAACCTTGCCGACCTCGTCAAGCAGGACAATAGGGCGGAATGCCGAAGGGGAATTCAGGGGGCGCCCATCTTTCCGTAACAGAACGAGCCTGCCTACCTTCTACTGTCGAGGAAATTGGCCACTTCGGAGACAGATGTCGTAGAGCCGCCTGAGACGATCCCCCAGAGAACCTAAGGCGATTGCCAGGGCGCGACCGGGAACTCCATCCGGGCCCGGGGCACTTTTCTTTGCCTTAAGTCTATCTACGGCCGTGTCCAGTTCAGCTTCCGTGATCGACGGCACCTCCACTCTCTCCTCCCTTCCCGAAGACACCATAGGCGGAGGGGAAAATTCAGTTTGGGAGGGAAAAAGAGTAACTACTACTTCCTGTAGTCGCTCAGGGTGAAGTGTCACCGCGATGGGGGAGCCCAGGAGCGGAGGTTTCCTCTGACATTTAGGTAGGGTCGCCCCCAGGGGTCTCTATCCAGTGTTTCCAGGAGAACCTCTCGTGCCCTAGCTTTGGCTTCACTAATGGACTTCTGCAGAGTCTTCTTCAGAGAGCGGTAGGCTTCATACAGACCAGCTTCAATGTCGGCGCTGCGGTCAGTACGCCTGCGGCGGTATCTGGTGTAAGTCCTCCCAGCGGCTGCGCATTCTCTCCGCTGTACTGCGATATTTTCGGACCACCAGTACACCTGCCGTGGAGTAGATCGTGGTCCAGCTCTTGGCATCGCTGCGTCACACACTTTCATCATGGCGTCGCCAAAGTGGGCCGCTTCTGCTTCTACCACCACAGGATCGTCCGCAGTCGAATTCCAAGCCTGCACAATTGATGCTTCTATTAAAACTTCCCGGTTCATGCGATTTAAGGCCCACCTGGGAAACTGAGCACCACTTCTCTCCCGGCGGGTCGGTGCTGGAGCCGAGGGGAGAACATCGAACCTAATATATTTGTGATCAGACAGCGTCTCCACCTCGGCCATGACCCGCCAGTTGCACACCCGGTCCACAATGGCCGAACTGGCGAACGCAACATCCACCACTGATTCGCCCTGGTACCGAACACAGGTAGGCGTGGAGCCCACGTTCAGAACTGACAGGTTTGCCGCCACCGCCCAATCTTTCAGAACCTCGCCACGAGCATCAGTTGCAACAGATCCCCAATTTACCGATTTCGCATTTAAGTCCCCTATTAGGAACAAAGGGCGAGTCGGATACTGGTCCACCATCGCTCCCATACCATCAAGGAACTGTTCAAACTGGGCGACTGTTCTGTTAGGAGAGAAGTATACTCCTACAATAACGGATTGCCCCCATTCAACCATCACTATTCCCTCACTTCTGGCAAGAAGGGACACCGGGAGGGACGAAATCGTTCGCCCTACTGCTCCTATTGCAACGAGGCCTGCAGAATCACCGAACCAGTTCTCCCCATCAGGGATGAAATAGGGCTCGGCAGCTACGACGACATCTATCCGCCACTCCACGCAACTTTGAATGAGCAGGTCTTGTGCTCGTCTGCAGTGGTTAATGTTCGCCTGTAGGATTCGATGGATAGCCGTTATTTATCAGTGTCCATCTCCACCGCGGGGACCCCTGACACAGTGGCCTGGGATGCAGCGGTAGAGGCCGCCCCAACACGGGAGGTTTTCTTCCCTGGGGGAGAGCAGTTCTTCGCCACTACCCAGTGATCCGCTTTCCGCCCCAGGGGCGCACACACTGCGCATTTTGGTGCTAAGCTGCAAGTGGCAGCTTTATGGCCACTTTGGCTGCACCTAAAGCATAAATTGCTGCGATCCTCATGCGTGCACGTTTCCCTGACATGTCCACCTTGCAGGCACTTAAAGCACCGTAACGGCCTTTTCCGCAACAACTCTGTCTTCGCCGACACCCAGCCGACGAGCATGCGGCCCTCTGTCGTGAGTTTCTTTATGGCAAGCACTGGCCCACGGACCCAACATGTCCCGAGGCCCGTCGTGCTACGGCGTATCTCTCCAAGTTTGATCATTGCGACCTCGCAGTCTCCGTCACGAGCCACTGCAGTGGCGATCTCCTCAGGAGTAATCGAGTCGTCTAGCCCTAGAACCCGCATCTCTTCGGTCTTAAGGGGTCTCGAAACGCGAGCGACGTCTTCAGGGAGGAACTCTCTTATTTTGGAGGCTATAATATCCGCCTTGTCTCCACTCGAGGCACCGGGGACTTCCAAAATTCGCGCCCCAGTAGCCGCCGTTCTAAATTTTAAGGTTTCAATACCGAGGGCCTTCAGATCTATTCTGGCTTTGGCCTCTCGCAGGATATCAGCGTAATTGGCACCCTTCTCTTGTGCACCTGGTTGTAACGCGATGACGACTGCTGTCGAACGCGGTCCCTTCAATTTGGACGGCCGGGGAGGACCCCTCTTGTCGGCTTTTCCTTTTCTCCCATTCTTAGCAGGACCCTGGTTTTGCTTCCTGTTAGATTGGTTCGCCAGAGCAGCTATCTGACTTTCCGGTACGCTAATTAGTTTACTGCCTTTCCTGACTACTGTGGACCAAGAGTCGGTAGGCTCTTTGTCCGCCGGCCCTGGTCGCCTATTATCTAGCGACTGAGTGGAGGCGCTACTGGGTCCCGCCTTTGTAGCGCTAGCACTTGTCGCTTTCGACGCTTTGGGCTGGCCCTTCTTATTGGGCCCTGATTTTGCCCATGGAGCATCGCGGAAACCAGGACCTCCAGCCCCGGGGATGTTCGCAAGCATCTCCCTCTTTGATTGTCCCTGGAGAGGTATGTGTCGCTCCAACGCATATTCCTCTGGTGTTATTTCTGGACGACTAGGAGCTATGAGTTTCCTGATTTCTCTCATTTGCCTATTATGCTTGGTATCGTATCGTCCCCCTTGGTATCGTCTATTAAAATATTTAACCAACTCCCAACTTCTATAAGAACTTTAAATAAGAATAGCCTATTTATAAAATACTTAAAGGATTTACTATGTAAAAAACAATATTATAATGTAAGTGATTATTTGAATGATGTATTTTAGTTTTTATGTAACATTTAATTAATGTATATTACAATGTATAACTGGATGAATAATATTAAATTATATGTTATAACTATTTATAATAATAGTAATAATAATGTTATGTTTGCGTGCCCTAACAGGGTCCATAATGATCGAAAACGTATTATAAACATCTTTCACTGTAATATTATGGAATGCAATAAATATTGAGTATTGAGTATTGAGTATTGAGTATGCTCCTCCATCTGCTGTTTTAATAGAGCGGCAACATCCCGAATTATCAGCGACCGCATCGACTCAGTGCCTAATTCAGCCACGGCTGGCATTTCC